AAATAAATAAATAAATAAATAAATAAATACAGTATCTGGAGCTTTAGAAAGGAGACTTTGTTTTGCCACTGTGGCTAGAGCTGGGAAATATTTGACAGGGCAGACATACTGCCTGAAAATTCTCTTGAAAGATTTAAAAAATATTATGTCTTCTCGAGTTTACAAACAACACGGTGGGAAGATAATTTGCTCACCAGAATCCTTTTCTCTAGTGGTGACTGCTGGCCTTCAGCAATCCGAGGATCTGTAGATGCCTTAGCCCAGGCCAATCTGGAATAGAAAAGGCAAAGAGAGATTCGAACCCAGTGCCGCCAACTGCCACTGCCTCCTAGAGACCCCTTAGGTCAGAGCAGAACTGCTCCTGAGGGTTTCCAATGCTTTAAACCTTTCCGGAAGGAGAGAGCCTCATTCTTCCCCCGCAGAAATTTAAGGACACATCTGCCCAAATAATGTCTGAGTCAAGGAACCCGTTTGGGCCAAAGCCAGGGGCACTAGCCTCACAAGGAGCAAAATCTGCTCTCAGGGCCATTTCTCCTCTGGGAAACCACTTCATCCCTGCAGGAGAGGATAACGAATGGTCTTCTAGTAAGAGATAGACTTCCCCTTCACATGAACTAAAAAAAGCGTACTTCTTCTGTGGGCTCGAACAGAACCACTCAACATCTTGTATCTTGGACTGGAAGAGGGGAGAAACAGTCTTCTTGGCATTCTGTCGAGTCAACACACCGAGTGATTCCTCAGTCTCCTCATCTCCTTCTTCATCTGGGGTAAGCCTAACTCCCCATGTTCTCAGTTCATGCTCTTTCTGGATTTTCTTGAGCCGGTCCCTCTCTGCCTCTATCAGCACATACAGCATCGCTGGCCTCTAATCTTGTGTCTGTATTTGATCGCCCACCTCTCTACTTATCTCCCTGATACTACCAGTCATCCTTCACCCTAAATCCATGGTGAGGCCCTTCACTGTTGAACCCCTCAGGATGGGAACTTGCAGTTACACTAGGTTTATTTATGGGATAGGCTGACGGCAACACAATGGAAGGTTTCCAACCTTCTGTGTGTCATTCCTGGTCTGATCTGAGTTTACTGTGAGGTCACTCTGAAGCTACTCTGATGACTGATATTTCATCTCTGTGCCTATGTTCACGTGATTTATGGTTAAAAGCATGGGTTTGGGAGCCAGAAAGGGCAGGGTTGAATCCTAATTCTACTACTTCCTGCATGTGTGACTGATTAAAAGTAACCTGACTGATAGCAAGTAACTTAACCCCTGTCTTGGTTGGTTACTTTTTAACACAGAGACATAGACAAAACCCTGCCTCAGGCTTACCAAGGTTAAAAGAACAAATGTGAGTCAGATGTGGAAGGCTTTAGCACATGCTCCAAATATGGAGAGTAATTGGCAGTTGTATTTCACAATAGGCCAAGCCCTGATTCCATATGAATTCTTCTTGGTCTACACCATAAGTTTGTCTTCTTCCAAACAGAAGCCCCGTTATTTCTACAACTCATTTGAAAAGTCACCATGGTTTACATAAAAATATCCATATATCACTTTTCGTATTTTGAGGCATCCTTTTGTCAACTGAAACTTAGGCTCATAAACGATGGCTAGGTTTATATCAACAAGGATGACTTAACCTGTCAGGTCTATCAAAGAGAATCTGAAATAAAAATTCTGTGACACTGACCTCTTAGGTGCACTTATATTGTCTGATCATACATACCTATTTTTAGATTTTAAAATAGAACTTTTTATTCTCTTATATGGCACCAAACCTAGTATTTAACTAAAATCTGTGAGCCCAAATTACTTCCTAGTTCTTAAAATTAATGGTTGCTGATTAACCATATCAGATTAGCCATCTTTCTCCAAAGTATTGTATTCCTATTTTAACTAAACATTTCCCAGCCTTCTATCAAGCATACATGCAATGCCTATCTATTGGCAATGCCTTGACCTTGACCTGTCACCTTTAAATCTATAACTGTACTGTCACTATATTCTATTCAGTTGTGTTGAGATCGGAGTTGTGTTTGACTTCGCAACCCCAGCTTCTGTTCCAAGTCTGGCACAGGTACTCATACATTATGGAATACACCGTGAGTTTTTCTTGCGAAAGTGTCCTGACTTAAAGCGTGTCTCTCTATTAAATTACGACAGTAATTAACCAGTGCGAATACTCATTGAATGTTTTTCCAACGTTAAAAGAGTTGAGGAGGGATAGCTTCAGTTTCTATTTTTCAAGGAGACAGACAGCAGGTGAGAATAAACACTGCCCTCTAATACTAGCCTTGCTTTAGCTACAGGCGTCTGGAGGTAGGAGAAGCCCCGGATACGAGAAATGCCAGGCCCAAGCTTTGCTTTCAGCCGCACGATGGCTCAGAAACGGGAACACGATGCTCTAGTCTAGACCAGCACAGTAAGTATGCAAAGGCGAATGCGATTTTAAGGGGAAAGCTCCCCGCGACTGGGTCCAGGTAGGATGCAAAGCCAAGACTTTAAACATCCTGGCGTAGCCGGAAACGTATCTTAAATTAACCGCTTCTTAACCGCTGTCAAGTACCAAGCTAGAGAACCCACTCCGGATTCCCGGCCGAGACCTCCTTCTCGAAGGCCCTCCGGTTGGATCTGCGCAATAGTGCGCGTGACGTCACAGCCAATCGCGAGCGGGCACGCCTTGTCGCTCTAGCCCGCCGCACTCGCTGCCCAGCCGTCCGGGCGGAGCGGACGCTCTAGCCAGGGAGCCGGCTGCTTCTCGTTCCTCCCAGCGGAAGCCTGCGCTCCGAGTGCCCGGCTTGCCGACCGGCCTGAGTGTCCCCGACACTTGGGTTCCGTGGCCGTAGATGTGCACGGGAGGAGAGCTCGGGCACCGGATACCTAGGCTCTGGGACGGGCCAGGGACTTCGGAGGGGGGAGCGTTGGAGACACTTCTCGTGTTGCCGCCTTCCAAGCCTCGACCACCAGTCCCATCATGGACTTCACCGACACCCGCTCCAGCTTCCAGTCCGACCTGGACTTCTGCCCGGACTGCGGCTCGGTGCTGCCGCTGCCGGGGGCTCAGGACACGGTCACCTGTGCTCGCTGCGGCTTTTCCCTCCACGTGCGCGGTGAGCCGCTCCTGCTCGGCGGCCCGGCGGGGAGGCTTGGGGTCCTGCAAGGGCGGGGAAGGGAGACCCTGGAGCCGGAGATGGGCCTGGGGCTCTAGCACGTTGTGTCCAGGGGCGACGCCTCCAGGTCAACCCCCATGAGGAGCCTTGCAGCGGTTCTCAACCTGTGGGTCGCGACCCCTGGGGGGGGGGAGTGTCGAACGGCCCTTTCACAGGGGTCGCCCGATTCATCACAGTAGCAAAATGACAGTGATGAAGTCGCAACGAAAATAATGTTATGGTTGGCGGGGGGGGGGGTCACCCCAACATGAACTATCCAAGGGTCGCAGCAATAGGAAGGTTGAGCACCACGGCTAGGGCCACCTTCCGTTCTGCGCCACAAACAGCTCTCCCCTCTCGTACAGATTTCGAAGGGAAAGTCGTGAAAACGTCCGTTGTGTTCCACGAATTGGGCGCTGCCCTGCCCCCGTCGGTGGAAGAGGGTCCAGAGTTCCAGGGACCCGTGGTAAGTTACAAAGTCGCCAGCTGTTGATCGCGGAAGGCGTTGTTGCAAAGATCCGAGAAAGGGAGGCTTTTAGAGCAGACAGGCCTGTTGGGAGTGATGGCCTGATTCTTTTAAGAAGCTAGGCAAGAGGAAGTATAATGATAATAACTGAAACAAGGTGTTGTAGGGAATGCAGGGGTGAGGGGTGGGCAATAGGAGGGAAAGGGGATTTGGGGAGTACATAATGAAGGAGGGAGGGGACCCTAGATCTGATCCTGAATTCCCAACTCATTTTAAAAGCGATTTCACCATGATGGGCCGGAATGCTTTAAGGCAGATGTGATGCCGATTGTACAATTCCCTTTGATATGATTGGATGATTGAATTATTCAATTGTGTGATATGGAAGTTGCGTGCCAATAAAAATGTTGAAAAATAGCAAAAAAGAAAAATTTGAAAAGGAAATCTGACTTTTAATCAACCAGTCAGGATCATTTTTCTCAGATACATACTGGGTGGGGGCGGGGTAAGGGAAAATGTAGTTCCTGAACTAATGTTTATGATCACAGGATATATATATGTGTATGTATATATATCCATAATAAATTGAATTGTCATGTATCCAAAAAAACGCAGCAGCTAGAGGGAGGTTTTTCCTCTCTGCTGGCTCAGAGGGAAGGTCCTTATCTCTTTTCAGCTTAATTTCCTTGGTTCCTCTGGCCTTCCTGTAGCTATGACTAGTCCTCCCCTAGCTCAGCCTTTACTCCCAGATTGACAGACGCTGCTCTCGATGTGGTCACGAGGGAATGGCTTACCACACCAGGCAGATGCGTTCAGCTGATGAGGGACAGACCGTCTTTTACACCTGTACCAACTGCAGGTAAGTATTCGCTTCTTACCCTCCGACATTTGCCCTCTGTTTGCTAACCAAATAACTACAGCGATTTATGTTTTTTGGGGTTTTTTAAAAAATCATTTTATTAGGGGCTCATACAACTCTTATCACAATCCATACTATATACATCAATTGGGTAAAGCACATTTGTACATTCATTGCCCTCATCATTCTCAGCGATTTGTTTTTTACAAAAAGAAAAATGATTTTCTTTGATCTCGTCTCACACCCCTCTACTCATTCTTAACCGCTTGTAGCCAAACAACTAAACCTTTTAAAAGTTTTTAGAAGGAGATGAAAATACACAGAAGACAGAGATTGCTTCGTGGCCGAGACGGTCTGCTTGAGCTCTAATAAAGCTAGCTTTAGTTTGATGTAAAGTAAGGAAACTCTAAATGGTTTTGAGAACTTTTTTGGTATTCTGTAGTTTCATTACAAGTATCAAGTTATGCCTTAACATTTATGTATCCTCTTTGGAATTGGGTGGAGTCCAGAAAACCGGGGATTGATTTTCATTTCATCAGCTTTATGAAACTGTTTATCATGAGCTCATTGAATGTTGCTTTCCCCGCATGCTTATCCTCACCTTCTGGGCCTCTAACTGCTTGTGGAAGGCATCACTGGGTGTCCTAAATGGTTGATTGACTACTAGCTGAAAGTTTGGATGTTAGAACTCTCTCAGAATTGCCTGGTAATCTGCTTCTGAAAGGTCATAGCGTTCACACCCATAGGAGGAGCGAGCCAACCAGAAGAAAAACAGCAATTAGCTGTATATTAAATCTTCTATTCCCTATTTCTTTGAATGGACTTTTCTCACATGTGTGACTTTAAGGGATACATTTGTTCTCTCACAGGTCAGGAAGCTGGCAGCCTGGTTCAGGGCACCAGCTCTGTCAGAGGCCCTCCCTCCTCTTGCGTAAGCTGCTTGTTCCTCTCTTCTTACGGTCTTCAGGTGGCATGGCACCTGCCCGGTCTTCAGGTGGCATGGTACTGCCCTCCTCCATCTCTGCCTCAAGAGATGGATTTAAGAGCCCTGCCAATGTTGTGGTAATATGTTGGGTTGCTAACTACAAGGTCGGCCATTTGAAACCATCAGCCACGCAGTGGGAGAAAGGCGGGGCTTTCTACCTCCATAAGGAGTTACAGTCATGGAAACCCACAGGGGCAGTTCTACCCTGTCCGATAGGGACTCTCTGAGTCAGCGTCATCAAGTCAATGAGTTTGGTATTTAGGTTCTACATTAATACCCCCCCCCATTACCATAACAAAGAAAAACATTCCCAGGAGGGATTACAGCAGGTTTACAGGAATTACAACCATAGGTATATGCATTTGCAACACATATTGATTGATTGATCCATAACATTGCCTTTCATATTCTCCATTTCATCTCTCTGCTGCTTATTGGTTAATTTCTACAGGTTTCTCATCTGGGTTACTAATTCTGTCTTCAGTTTCTTCTCCCACCCCCTTTTTTTCCCTTCAGTTTATTATTATTTTT